TGAGGCGGCACTGGTGGGCATTGATGAGAGGCACTGATGATGCTGCACTGATAGGCGGCAATGATGGGCACTGAAGGGCACTAATGGGTAGCACTGAAGGGCACTGATTGGCAGCACTGACTGATGGCACTGGCACTGATAGGTGGCACTGACTGACGGGCAGAGATTGACAGCACTGTTGGGCACTGATGGGCAGCACTGCTGGGCATTGATAGACAGCACTGCTGGGCACCACTGTTGGGCACTTTTGGGGCTGCACTGATATTCATTGCCCTGATTATTGGTGCTTTGGCAGTTGCCAGTTACCGCCAGAAAAATATTGCCAATAATCGGCAAGTGTATTTTCATTATTTAACTTAGTGGTCAGCTGTGATTGGGCATAGCTGATCACGTGACAAAGGCCGCTGTGATTAGCCTTTTACCATGTCATGTGATCAGTTGTGTCCAAAGGACACAGCGATCACAGACAGCACACGGTGCGCACCACTGGGGGTGTTCTGAGAGGACTGGACTGCCACGCTGTAGCTGTCATTTGGCTATAGTGCAGTAGTAAATTGGGTAACAAACTGAGGGTTTTCAAAGAAACTTGCCTTCATTCTTACTGTCTACACTATCCCATGCTACTTCATGAGACTATGCATCATTTTGAAGAAATATATAAATATTTACATTGCAAAAATAATGTATTAGGTGATTTTTGTCCTATATTTCTTTGTTTACAATCATTTCTGTTATGTTTAAAAATGTTCTTAAAATGGATCTAAAGGCTGGAGGTTTTTTTACCTTCATGCATTCTATGCATGAAGGTAAAAAAACCTTTGGTGTGCTGCTCACCTCACAGCCCTCTTAATACTCACCTGAGCCTGATATTGATCTACTGATGTGCATGGGAGTCTCAGCTCTGCCAGGTCTCTCTCTTCTCATTGGCTAAGACACAGCAGCGGCAGCCATTCTGGGGCTTGAGGGTGAGCAAGCACCAGTGTCCCCAGAGCAAGTGGCTTGCCATTGGGGGTAAGAACCAGGAGCGCCGGTGTGGGACCAGAGAAGAAGAGCATCGTGGCTGTGCAAAACCACTGCACAGAGCAGGTAAGTATAACATGGTTGTTATTAAAAAAAAAAAAATCCCAAACCTTTAATTTCACTTTATTTTTATCTTATTGTGGTATATAGCAGAATTGTGTCAGTATTAAATTGGAGTTCCACCCAAAAGGGGAAGTTCCTCTTTAAAGATTGGTCCCCCGCTCCCCATTAAGGATTGGCACCTCTGGGGAGCAGGGGGGGGGATGGGTACCTGAATTTGACAGGTGCCCGCTCCCGCTCCCACTTCCGCTGCGATCGCCTTGGCGATCGGAAATGGAAGTTGTCCTCCTACCCAGCCCCCCCCCCCCGCGCAGTGGGCACCCGGCTGTGAAGCTGCAAGCTGTCACAGCCGGGTGCCCACACTGAAGATGCTGGTGCCTGGAATACAGGACGGCTGGTGAAACGGGCTGCAGTGGGGGCAAGCGGGATCGTGGGACAGGTGAGTGGCTGTTTTTTAAAAGTCAGCAGCTACAGTTTTTGTAGCTGCTGACTTTCATTTTTTTACAGAGTGAGTGGAACTCCGCTTTAATATAGCAAATGAGGCCTATTTGATTTTTAATTGGAATAATAATTACCTTTATTCAGATTATAGGCCTGATTTACTAAATCAAATGAAAGATAGTGGGGATAAATTGCTACAGCTTGCTTGCATTGCAGGGTTGCAAGTATGTACAGATGTACATGTGCAAAGTGAATGCGATTTCTGAACTAGCCTAACAATAAACTGGTGTTAAATGCATAGTCAGTCCCAGTTTCCATGTACATTGAGCATCCAAAAATACTGTTTTGTACCTTTTTGTCCTCATAAACTGCACCAAGGAATGTATATGTTAACATTTTGCCTTAAAAGGTGATTTTAAAAATACTAAGAAAAGAATGTGGCCCCTTTGTAAAGCAATGAAATGTGTGTTCTCCAAGAAATGCAGCAGATTAATAAACACCCATACGTCATGCTGTCAAACATATGTACAGGTATTTTTAATTTCAAAACTGTTTTGAGATATCAGCATATGAAACCATGTAGGCATGCTTGCTGTTGCCACAACAGTCATATATCACTGTGACACCCCCGGCATAGCGTGCATTATGGCTCTTTTAGATTTATTGTTCAGTATGCACATAGTACAGTTTTGATCCTACATAAGATGCTTGGTGAACACCCCATTAATTAACAGTGGGCCCCCAACACTTCACTGCGTTTAAAAAAGTACATGACCTCTTAATGCACCACAACGCATCCAGTACATGTGCATACTCATGCATTTTGGCAGGCTTTGTTGGATTATTATTATTACAATACAGGATTTATATAGCGCCAACAGTTTGCTCAGCACTTTACAATATAACGGGAGACAATACAGCAACAATACAGTTCAATACAAGAGGGTTAGAAGGGCCCTGCTCCTTGGAGCTTACAATCAAAAAGGCAGGTGCTGGTGGTACAAAAGGTAATTACTGTGGGGGATGAACTGATAGGAGGAATCAGGGGTGGACTGACAATTCATGGGGCCCCTGGGCAATAGGTGATCATGGGACCCCTGTGTCCTCGCCCACACCCAAAAAAAGCCTATGAAAAAGACAATGAAAGGTACCAGGGGCATCTCGTGGGGCCCCCTACTGACCCTGGGCCCTCGGGCAGTGCCCAAGTGCTCAAATGGTTCAGTTATTAGCTGAAGGCAGGATAGGCTTCCCTCTGAAGAGAGAGGTTTCCAGAGATCGCCTAAAAGTGGGCAGAGTAGGCCATAGTCGGATAGATTGGGGTAGAGCGTTCTAGAGGATGGATGAATATAAGCCTGATACTTTTTTTTCATGCTGTATTGGCACCTTAGAAAATGATGTGCATTGTCATTTTTGTACGTCCAGTAAATATATCCTGTTCATTAGCCATTGAGGTGCTGTATCCTTTCTTTCTTGTGGGTTTTTTGTACCTTAGAAAATGAATAGGGCACTGCAAAGAGCGTTAACACATACACATGCTGTAGTCAGAGCCATTGTTAGTCATTGCTCGCTGACTGGTTTGTTTCTGCTCAGCTGTTACTAACCCTTGCTTCATATTTTCTGTAAGACACTTAATAGCCCAACAAATTATACACATTCTTTTGCCCGGCTGTTACAATTCTTGTCTAGTTTTTGATTCTGCCATTTTAGAACTGGATTATTTGTAGTGACGTTTAGGTTTTTTTGGTGGGAAGTATTTTGCATACTTCTGGGTTGCGGTAACTAATTCATCACACATGATGGTACCCCACTGCACACATGGGCCTTCCCTTTTCATCCTCTTATATACCAAGAGATCTTTAAGTGATTTACATCTCCTGCTGGTAAACTTGACAAACTTGTTATTAACATTTTTGTTTTTGGATCCTCTAATAATATATTCCAGTTGTCTATAATTATCTTATTATTCTCCTTATGTCGTTGGGTATTTCTTAAACAGATACATGTCTGATTATTATCATATTAATTGCTGCTGTTGAGAATTAACTGATCTCTAATGGCATTACAAGCTCATTTACATGGCCTATTCAAATCTCTGTGTTTGTACCCCCTGGGTAATTATTTGTCTAAGATTTTTAGCTTTTTTTTTCTCAAAATTGGAATTTTCTAAACAGTAGCAATTCACCCTTACTGGCCTATAGCCATAAGCAGTGACCTGTAATGGAAGGTCTGGGCATGTAGAAACTGTAGCTGTCTGCAAAAGAACAGTATGGAAATTTGATAACTTTCCTTTTTCCTGTATGTATTTCCAAATGCAGGAACAGGAGATTGTCCTCATGATAGTTCAGGTTCATCATCAAACTCAAGTCACTATTATTCAAAAATAGCATAAATTTAACTAATTTCTGGGTGAGACTTACCCCCAAAAAACAAACTCTCAATATAGATGGAACGTGGCATAGAAACCCTGTAACTGATTCATCCCTGAAGAGGACAAGTTCCCAATTCCCTAGGTAAAGATTGGAATAGGTTTATGTAAAGGTTTTGCTCATAGCTGACTATATACTTGGAGGTAATGGGCATCCTCAAACAAATAACATTTAAAAACACATGTGATTGTAATTTTCAAATCTGCATAAAAAAAATAAATAAATAAATATATATATATATATATATATGTGTGTGTGTGTGTGTGTGTGTGTGTGTGTGTGTGTGTGTGTGTGTGTGTATTTATGTATGTATGTATGTATGTATGTGTGTATATATATATTTGAGCAAACAATTGGTATGCTGCAGATTTGGGCAAGTTTCGCTGACATACAGATTTTACCAACACAATTTCCTACAATCTGAACTCAGTTTGGACCTGTAAACCTCTCTAGAAATAGATTCAGATGAAAATATATGGGAAGCATGGTTTGCTGGTAGGACATTGCTAATTACTTTTTGTTGTACCTTCTTCCAAATTCATTTGTCTGGGAGGGTAGAATGGTGACATTGGTGTGCAAATAGGTGAATGAAAAATATATATATTTTTTTCAGATAGCATTGCATGGAAGCAATGGAAAGAGATGTTTTTTTAATGAACGCAGCAGCAGCTAGAAAGCATAGCACAAGCAAAAAATTAACCACTAGCCTACAGGGCACTTATACCCCCTTCCTCCCCAGGCCAATTTCCATTGTTCAGCGCTTTCGCACTTTGAATGACAATTGTGCGGTCATGCAACACTGTACCCATATGCAATTTTTATCATTTTTTTGTGACAGATAGAGCTTTCTTTTGGTGGTATTTAATCACCTCGGGGTTTTTTTATTTTTCCTAAACAAACCAAAAATCACTGAAAATTTTGAAAAAAACTGTTTTTTCTTAGGTTTTGTTATAAAAATTTTTAAATAAGTGATTTTTCTCCTTCACTGATGTGCGCTAATGAGGCTGCAGTGATGGGTACTGATAGGCTACACTGATAGGTGGCACTGATGGGCACTGATGAGGAGGCACTGGTAGGTGGCACTGATGGGCATTAACAGGCATCACTGGGCACTGAAAGGCAGCACTGATACATGGCACTGATATATGGCACTGTTAGGTGGCACTGATTGGCACTGATAGGCGGCACTGACTGGCACTGATAGGTGGCACTGATTGGCAGCACTGATAGGTGGCACTGACTGGCACTGATGGATGACACTGAAAGGCAGCTCAGATGGGCACTGATATGTGACATTGATGTGCACTGGTATGCTCTGATATGTGGCATTGATGTGGCACTGATAGGCACTGGCACGTGGCACTGATCGGCACTGACAGCTGGCACTGATGGACTTTGACAGGTGGCACTGCTGGGGCTACACTGATCATCAGGGCACACTGATCATCAGTGCCTGCAGTGCCCTGATGATTAGTGTACATGTCCCCTCCGCGGAAAGCTGATTTCTGGCTCTCCTCTCCTCTCGGGCTGTCAGCGTGACAGCTCGAGAGGAGAGAAATGCCGATAACCGGCATTTCCGTGTTTACATGTGATCAGCTGTGATTGGACACAGCTGATCACATGACCGAGCCGACATCTTCGGCTCTTTCCATGATCAGTGATCCGCTGTGTCCGAGGGACACAGCGCACCGGCGATGACCGCGCATGCGCGGTGAGAATGGGAGGACGTCATATGACGTCCTGTCAGAACGAGAGAACCACCTTGCGCCCGTCATTGGACTATATGGCGGGCGGGAGGTGGTTTAAAGTGGTTGTAAAGGCTCAAGGTTTTTTACCTTCATGCATTCTATGCATGAAAGTGAAAAAAAAACCTTCTCTGTGCAGAAGCTTCCCCAAGCCCCCCTAATACTCACTCTTGATCCAGTGATGTGCACTGGAGTCTCAGCAATCCCGGGACTCCCTCTCCTCATTGGCTAAGACAGCAGCGGGAGCCATTGGCTCCCGCTGCTGTTGATCACAGTCAGTGAGCCAAAGAGAAGAGAAAGGGGCTGGTCTGAGCCGCGGCTCAGTGTGTGAATGGACACATGGAGGAATGGGTGCCCCCATAGCAAGCTGCTTTCTGTGGGGGGACTCGACAGGAGGGAGGGGCGAGGAGCGCTGGCGGGGGACCCGAGAACAAGGATCTGGACTGCTCTGTACAAAACCACTGCAGAGAGCAGGTAAGTGTGATGTATCTGTTATTTTTTTTTAAATCTATGCCTTTAATATCACTTTAAATATAAGACCCTCAAAATGCTGTGTTTGTTCCTCCTGCTGCCACTCTTCTTTCATTAGCCAGTATAATTACCTGAGATTGTGTGTAGGAGAAAAAATTGTACTCTTTCCCCCAAATTTAATTTTGGCTTCCTGTGTAAAGGTAGCCAGGAAGAATAAAATGAGTTCAACCAAATAGTCCTTAACTTATGCACCACATAGTGAGTATAATGCACTGCCCCTGTATGTAAGAGAAAAAACGTATACTGCCAGAATCCACATACATTTTTTTGGATGCCTGTGGCCTAGAAAAATAAGAGGCTGCTGGTATATTGCACTTCAACTGTATGTGCAAGAAAAAAAATACAGTCCAGCTACCTATAGCTCAGTGGCCGGCAAGATAAATTGCATGCTGCCAAGACAGGCCTTATGCAGTGCCGACCAGTAAATTACAAAGTGACTGTAAGTAATAGAAAATAACTTTTTGTTGTCTCCTCCTTCATCTCCTCGGACATGTAATGAAGATGAGAATGATGATCATCGCTTTCCACTTCCTAATGTATGGTTTCCCATATCGGTTCCCGGTAGCAACATAGCCATTGGAGTAGGAGCTAAATGCTTGATGCTAAAGAGCTACATTTCCTCTTTTTTTTTTTTTTTTGAGTTCTCATATGAACATAGTTTTTTTTTTAATATGCATGTTACAGGTTTCACATCTTTTTGCATTTGTTTATTTATTTCTGGTATTTGGGATATGATTATTATATTATTATATATGTAGCGCTACCCTAGTGGGGGTCGCTGTGTTGTGGGAACCCCTAAGCTCTGCACAGCCAGGAAACCAGCATTTTCCACACTTTCATCCACAGTCAGTGATCAACCTGTGAGCTTGTTTTATTTTATTAAATAACTTGGATAGGGAAATAGGGAGTTTGTTGGCTTTAATCAATGAAGGGGGGACAACTTCTTTCCTATGTACAAAAACAGATTCTGGACTATTCTTTTCTTTGAATGTTTTTGTGGATCAGTAGCAACAGCCCTTTTACGGATGAGGAACTAGCAGTCCCTCAAAATCAGCTTAGCTTCTTGTAACCACATGCAGAGATGTCTCCTCTTGCCCTGTAGAACTGCTCCGAGCTCCACAGCTTACAGACACTGCCAGCACTCATGGTTGCTCTGAAGATCTCCCAGAACAAGAATAAAGGATTGAACCCAGCGCTGTTCTTTAAAAGTTTGCTACATTTATTTATTTCAGGTACTTATATAGCACCATCAATTTACGCAGCACTTTACACATATATATCGTACATTCACATCAGTCCCTAACCCTCAAGGGGTGTACAATCTAAGGTCCCTAACTTACATTCATACACATATTAGGGCCAATTTAGACAGGATCCAATTAACCTACCAGCATGTCTTTGGAGTGTGGGAGGAAACCAAAGTACCCGGAGGAAACCCATGCAGGCACAGGGAGAACAGGCAAACTCCAGGCAGGTGGTGCCATGGCTGGGATTCGAACCAACAACCCTAGTACTGCCATGCATGTGCCTGTCTTTTTTGTGGATCCCAGGGAGTGCTGATGTACTCATTCTGTCCTATTTGCTCCCGCTGCTCCAGGTCTCAATCCCATTCATGTTGCACTGCCGAATGTATCCTCCTGAGCCAGCCGAGCCCAGCCTGGAGGATGCCCCCCCCCAAGACCTAGGGGACCTCTGCCGGGCACTGACAGTCTCCTCAGCACTCCATCTTCCACCTGACTCCTCTGTCAGCCTGACTCTCCCATATTTATGGGCCAGTCCACCACTCTACCATTGTCTCCAAACCTGGGATTGGCTAGACTCCCATATACATGCTGATTAGATTTCCATCCCTTCTTGCTTACCAACTTCTGGAAGGTTCTATGGTCCTCCAGAGCCAGGAGGAGGTAATAGAGCCACAACCTGTTAAGTTATGCAGCTGACCTGCAATGACCCGACCTCAATCACAGACTCACATAGTTACCATGAATCTTACACAATGATTTTACCTGCAATACACTACACTACTCTAGTAGCACACTTGAGGGTGCTACTTATATTTTTCACCCTGTAGGATGCACAGATGCACATGTGGCTTTTTTATTTATTTGGTTGGTTGTTTTGATTATTTTTTGTTGTATTCTTTGCTGTTTTGTTGCATGGAGTTGAGGGCATATTTGATTAGCTGTAGCTGGAGGTGGTGTTGTCCGCTATTTGGCAGCAGGGATTGGTTCTCTAGTCAAGAGTAAGCGCTAAATTAGCGCAAAACGTGTCAACTCTTCTGTGCATCTCCTGTGCTCTTTTTACCTGTACAGGTGTTTTTTATATGGATATTAATAAAGTGGTATTTTTGCATAGAGCAGCCATTCAAAGCTTCTCCGTGTATCCTAAATGCTTTTCTTGTTTGTCTATGTGAGTATACATGTAACATAAAAATATGGGGGGGAAGGAGAGAGTAACACTGTTGATAGTGCACTTTTACCTGCGGACAATTTTTTGTCCTTTCTATGCAACATGCATTTATTATGAGTTGCCATTCTTCAAGATAAAAGACCTCCAACACAACCTGACCCTGCTTGCAGCCATGGAGAATCAAGTAGTAACTAAGAGATTTGCATTTCGAATACAGGTATTTGAGCTTGTACATTGTGAAATTCTCTGGGTGCTATGGGTGTTCATCAGATCCTGGAAGAATACGTTGCACTGTTTTTGCAACTTCAGTAGCAATTTTTTTTTTTTTTTTTTTAGGTCCACATGATTTTTGTGCAGAAACAGAATCAAATATGATTGAATTTCCTTCAAATATAAAATGATTATAGAAATTTTTTACTGGCAAATTCTGGATATCAGAAAAGCAGAGAGCATGCCTCAACTTCCCAAATAGTGGTGATGATGTTTATTCCTTTGTCCATTTGGGGATAGTGAATGGAACAACTTTGACTGGTTTGCTTATGGTAAAATGCTAATGGTGCTCCATGTGTCTTTTCAGTTTAGGCCCATTAGGCACAACACAGCAGTGCTTCACTTTGCAGTGGTGTACAAAAGGATATCTGAGATGGGTCTGTTCTTTCCACCAATATGTTTATTTTGTAGAAATGCCCTTAAAGCGGAGTTCCGCCTGGGGAAAAAAAAAAAGTCAGCAGCTACAAAAACTGTAGCTGCTGACTTTTAAAATACAGCCAGTTACCTGTCCCTCGGTCCAGTGGTGTCCTCACCATGGCTGGTTTCACCTGCTGTCTTCTCTCCACCATGCCAGCATCGTCAGTATGGGCACCCGGCTGTGACAGCTTGCGGTTTCACAGCTGGCTGCCCACTGCACATGCGCTTTCGCTTTGTGATTGGCCCTGTAGTCTTTTGGGACCTGTCATGTGTCTCAGAAGACTACAGGGAGGGAAGGGGGGGGGAAGACAACTTCCGCTTCCAATCGCCTTGGCGATCGCAGCGGAAGTGGGTGTGGGTACCTGTCGAATTTGGGTACCGCTCCCTCCCCCCACTCTCAAAAGGTGCCAATCCTTAATGGAAACGGGGGACAAAGGCTTAAAGCGGAACTTCCCCTTTTGGGAGGCGCTCCACATTAATCTCTTCTAAGAGATATAACTTCTGCTGGATTGGAAGATTGTCCATAAACACTTGTCTGAGTCTTAGCTTTTTAATCACAACTCATTTCAGCCTGTGTTGACTTGTCTAGGCAAAAATAGCAGCAGCATCATTACATCATTATGGAACGATTTGCCCACATGCCCGCTGTCAATCCACACTAAGATAGTGAAGGCTTTTGAGGGTTTCTTGACATTGTATGGGTAGAGTTTATGGTGGATGTGTGTGGTTGCATAACCCAACTGTAATCATGACAACATTGGAAATTCATAAGCAACCATTCTCTGAAATGCAAATGTACATTCCCTCTTTGTAGCACACAATGATATTAGAGAGAAATGACAGGCTGCATAGTAAATACAGGTAAATGCCAAACCAAACTAAGACTTTTATGGTGAGACTAGAGCTGAGCTTTAAAACAACTGAAGGCAGCTTTTGAAACAACGTATTAAGGTTTTTCTGACATTTTACAGAATGGGTTTAGATCTACGTTAAAGACGGTGAGTTATCTCATATCATCATCTTCTTTTTTCTTTCACTCCTTTATGTGAATCCCTACCTTATACTTCTCCATGTTAATATACCTATTTATTGTGCATGCACCCAACCTTGCATGTTCACCTCTTAACCATGGCACAGTCGGACAAACTGATCTAAGAAATGTCCAAAGCTTGCATTTTTAATAACTTAAAGTGTTACTAAACCCACAACAGTTAAATCAGTTTATATATGCAGTAAAGCATGCTTGTTTTACTTACATACTGTGGAACTTAAGGGGCTAATCCTCAGCATTGTGTAAAAAAAAAAAAGGCTGTTTGAG